TTTTAACTAAAAATATTCTAAACATTTAATTTTCAAATATTTAAAATCTCAATTAAAATAAGTATCTAAAAAAATATTTAATTTTTATAACTAAAAATATTCCAAGCATTTAATTTTCAAATATTTAAAGTCTCAATTCTCTTTAAAATCTTTCGTATCAATCATCAGCGCGCTTCGAAAAGAAGCGCGCATTCAAACCCGAGGACAACGAACTTCCTATAACGAAGCTGCGATATGTTCTACAATCGCAAAGAGCAACGATCCGTAGATCTAAAGTCGCGCGGCGAGACAAAAGTCACTTACCCCGCGACGGCAGCTTAATCCATCCGGTATCATATCCAGGGTGTCATGGCACACAATCAAGAAAAAAACGAGAATACAAAAACTCTTCACCACCAAAAGCGCGACGCGAAGCGGAACTCGCGGTTTATATATCGGGGACTATAACCCTAACGCGTATTCGCGATCTCCGTGTACTCGTGTCACCGCGCAATCGCACAATTGTCGTTCCCGTTCAACACTTCCGTTCGCGTGCGAATATGACCGCCGAAACTGTCTCTGCGTGTACCTTTCTTCGCTCCCTTTTTGTTCTCCGTTTCTTCCGGTTTTCTTCTCGTCTTCGAAAGCGCGAAATTCAAGAGATCTCGCGAGGGAGCAAGATGAAGCGGATGGAGCTGACGATCGCGATGAACCGAGCGGGCCGAACGTCGGCGGCCAAGTGAGAGGCTAGCGGCACCGCTGCGCGAGTCTCGTGACGTCACAGGGCCTCCTCTCCTTTTTGCCATTCCACGGCGAGCGCGTCGACGCGCGCGCGAGAAAGGGGCCCGTCTCGCGGGCCCCTTCTCTCCGCGTCGGCGATGCCCTTCTTCTTCCTCGCGAGGTGCCACCGCAGGAGGAGCGTAAACTCCTCGATGATAGCCGAGGCGCGCTAGCTATCGGCCTCGACGTTTTCGCCGGCCAAATTCTTGGCTTTTGTTCGTCGGTCGCACGGTCCCGAATCAACTATCGTGACCGTTCTCGCGGATTCAACCAATCGACGTGCTCCGATTTTTTCAAACCAACACGAGCTCGGATTCCAAATCCTCGAGTAGAAAGAAAAAAATTTAATTGTTAATATTTTGCTCGCAACCTTGTGCGTGGATAATAGAGCGCTCTGGCATACTTCGATGCTTATCGTTTTACCTAGACAAAGACTTTCGTTAAGATCTGTATATCTGACTCAAGATTGAAATCGTTCGATGTGAAATTGAAATCTGTTATCTTTTCCAAGTAGGTCAAATGTGATATATTATATGCACTTATACGTTTTATATTTATATCATGTCTAAAATTAAAATCATTGCACATTAAAAAAATCTATAAAGTAAAATATGTCTACAAAATGTATGTATATAGGAGGATATTTTATATTTTTATTTTATTAAAATTTTAGATACTATATATCACACATACAATTTAAATTGTAAAAACAATTGTCTCCTTCTGTTATTATCATGTATTTACATATCAAATTTTATAAAAATTAAAATAAATATATAAAAAAAATAAAAAATATATAATTTTTTTTTTTTTTTTGCAATTTACTCGAGTTATATTATTCGATTATTAATATCAATTCGATACATAACATTATATAAATCCAAGAGGGACCAAAAACATATATCCTTTGAATTGCAAATATACATTAATATTATAAGATATGTATATAAAAATACGAAAGTTTAAAACATTTTGAGACACGACGCGATATAAAAAAAACTCGTCGAGACAGATCGCAAAAAAGCGCTAATGAACAAAGTCTTTGCTTCTAAAAAATGCCGTACAACCCCAAATCTGCTCATCACATTAAGTCATGTATCGCTACTTATCACATGAGAGATTCGCTCCGAATTATATTCCGGACAGTTAGACGCATTCTCTTCTCCCATCGCTCGAAATCGATCGAGCGCGACACCCGTTACATGGAATCGTTCGCGAGCGTTTCTTTCGAGCGGGACACAAAGCGAAGAGCGAACACTTTCACGCGGAGGCCGAGTTTGTAAATATCATGGCCATATTTTCTATCCGCTCGTCCCCCTACACACCATTCGCTCGTATACAGCAAGGAACAAACGCGGGTCCCCCTGCTCCGCTCGCGCGTTATTACGCGTTCTTGCCCCCTTACTTATTCCGTTGCTGCTTTATCTCTCGTCGCGATACGACATTAGATAGACGCGGCCCTCCTCGTATCCATAATCATTGCGTACAGACGCCTCAGCATTCCTGTGTATCTTGATTACCCTTTATTATGGCAGCCTCCGCGACATGTGCTCGAGCTTCGTTAACATACTGTCGCGAATTGCGACAGAGGATTGTATAATTTTTGTCAAAATTATAATGATATCAGAGCTAAGCGTGAAATTGAAGATGACGCACGCGAAAGAATTCAAGTTTGCATTCTTCTTTGAAATTATATTTAGTTTGGCAAAGGAAAAATCGTCTTAGAATTGAGTCAGGTATATGACATTGTAAGGACAGAAGGTTGTTTTGAATCACCCTGTATAAGAATATTTTCGTTAAATATATAATTAATCAACTTAAATATATTATTCCAAATACTTGTTAATTATATTACTAAGAGATATAGATGAAAAATAGTGAGAAAAAAGAAAGAGAAAAGAGAAATTCTAGTATACGCGCGAATACTTTTCTTCTTTCATTCATGCATCAATTCACGGCAACATCTACGTGTTCCGCCTACTTCCGTTGAATTAGGAATTTCAAGGCGCATTGTTGTTGAGCCGCGATTTTCCGCGAAGCCCCGCGGCCTGCGAATTTAAAATCCCGAACAAAAATTTTCCGCAAAGCTATCGCAATGTGCGGAAGCGCAAGGCGGATTTTACGATCGAGACTTTTTCTTCAACTTTATAACACCCGGCGGCATTGGCGAGTCTCGGTCAGTGGACTTGAGTCATCGGCAGTAAGAGAAGGAAGAGGAGGAGAAGAAAAAAAAAGAAAAGAAACGGCAGGAGAAGAAGGAAGAGGTGGAGGCACATACACAGCTGCCCAAGGGGAACGAGAGGACGACCCCTTCTCGAGTGCATCGTCAATTGCTCGGGTATTCAGGATACGTTGCGCTCTTGGGCAGGTGATGCAAGAGCACGAGTGAAACAAGTTAATTCTAGTTTTGAATCCCCTACCGCTGTTGTTTCAATTATTGTGTAAATATAAATACACCGAGTACCGTATTAATCCCATTATGATGACAAAAAAAAAACAAAAAAAAACGGAAATGCAAACTGTTGAATGAAATTAAAGCATGTCCAATTGCAATGAGACGGCACGATGCTTGAAAATTACAATACATAAAAGAATATAATAAACGTGAATGGTGAACTTAGTTGAAGAAAAGTGTAAAGATACAACTTTTTTGGTTAAAATATTTTTACATATTGTTATTTTCAATAATTTAAAAAATAATACTATTTTGTGCAGATTAAATTAAAATAACATTATTTTATAAATATATATAATAGTTTTTCATAACTGGCGCGTGTATTTGACGCCTTTTTTTAAAACGTAAATTTTTAGTAAGTTTTTAGAGATATAAACGTGAATGATGAACCTAGTTGAAGAAAAGTGAAGAGATATCCTGTGTGTTACCATATATAGTTTCTTTCCTAGATTTCAAAGTGAAAAAAGGAATGTTATGAGATTTTTACATCGCTTAGAGGATGATATATTCTCTATTTTATGAAGATTGGATTCGATTGCCAATTTGACCGACTTAGACGAAACCCATGCTGCGAATTCGCGAAAGCTCACGCAATGACCGATTTGATATCGCTTAATTCATAGCCACGCGGTCGTCGTTATCTTGGATTTCTCCGCATTAGACCTACAGGTTGATAGATGCCGTTTTTAACGTATGCCTTAATAACTAGTGGAACGATGATGAAATCGGTGAGAGGAAAACGTCGCTCACGACTTGTAAAAAAAGAAAGCACAGAATTTTTAACAAAGAAAATTGTCAGAGTAACAACTGGATGAAG